TCGAGTTGATCTCTTACTTTGATACAATACCATTATGTTTGTCCCTTTCTTATTTCTAATAGCTATGTGTACGATTATAGAACTTTTCTCAAAATGTTTTTTTGTTTTATTATTCTTATCCCAAGAAAGATCTGTCACTGATGTATTTGAGAATAAAATTATTGTATTTTCATCTGGACATGAATAATCTTTCCTAACTTTTGAAGATTCTATAATCGCAGAAGAACAAAAAAAACAATGTCGAATGTGTAAGAGTCATACAACATAAAGTTAACTATGTTCTTTTTTTTTTCATCATCTTGTAAACGACGAAACCATGTTAATTAAATAGAATCTATTCTATTATGTAAGAGTAAATGAACCTTCTCTGTTAATAACCAAGTGCTTTTGTATTGATCTTAATGAAAAAGAAAATCATTATGTTCCTCTGTCTACATTCACTGATTTCGCTCAAAAGTAGGAGAATCAATACGTGTTATGTGTTCAAACAGGAATATATTATTTTATTTTTTCTTCTCTTCTACAATACCAGAGAAGCAATTTTAAAAATATAAATTTTATAACTGAGATATTAAAATGAAAAAAACGACTATTTTATGAGTTAGTTTTGCTTCGATCTCACGTGACAGTGTTCTTTCAGTCGTCATCAACCATCATCTCTGTAGATTACTGAAGTATATTGACTATTTCGCGTTTCTACGAAGTTTATTTTTAATGACTCAATCATTTATGTATCGGCTGCAATGTATTTCTTTTCTTTTCTCTTGAGTTTTAGGAGATAGTAATTTGATCGGTAACGGAAAGCGAATGACTGAATACGAGTTCGTCTTTAGATTGGTAGTGTTGTCAGCAAGATTGTAGACACATCTAAAGCGATTCAAGGATGTTATCAATAATGTCAATTTTTCGTCTATCTATTTATTACCGAAAGAAAAGTAGAATTAATTTCAATTACATATATTTCATACATTTCGGGATTCATTTTGATTTTGTTTTTCTATTTTTCGACTATATATATCAATTTGAACAGATAGAAAAGAAATATTTTTTTAAATCTAACATTGAAATTGTTATTGAAAATTTATTATACTCAATTGATATCTTCGTTAAACCGATATAATATTAATAAAGAAAAAAATATTCACATAGTTTCATCTAATTTTCATTTTTTCCATTATATATATTTTTTATTTTAAACATGTAAAAACAAACAACTAGGACGCAAGCTATTTTAACATTAGAATTCATGAGAAGACATTACGCACGTTCTCAAAAAAATGATCTCAATTCAATATAGCCATTTTTATATGAGAACACCTATGTTACAAATAATATATATATATATATTTATGTATGTGCAACTGCAGATATTCGACAAATACTGGTTAGATGAGTTTCCTAAAGCTAGAATCATTTCCACCGTCTTTTTCTGCATGTTATTCAACGTTGTCTTTTTCAATTGCAGATTGATCTCGACAGAAAAATCCTATTCCTGAGATTTACGGTTATTTGAAGTGGAGTTTATATCACTTCTCAGAAGAATTCATCTAAATTCAAATTCAAGCAGCTAACACTAACGGAATATGATCGTTCCCTATGGAGCAATACAGTCCATTGAAAATGAGAACCCATCAAAAAAATTTTTAAGAAAGATCTGGATATTCGAAAACATTTCTACAATTTTTTTTTCTTTAAAATTTCGTATGGAGAGGTTACGTTATTAGTAAAAATATTAAAATAATCTTATCAAATTTGTTTTCCACTCTTTTTCGTTACACATATTTTTATCTTAACTAAGTAAAAAAACAAAATCTAAACCTTTTTTTCTAGCTTTAGACTTCATAAGAATATAGGAATAAAAATGACTCACATTGAGCGTGCGATTAACATTTTTCTCATTCTAACAAAAGAATTTGATCGAAACATTTTAGCATGTTTTCTAATAACGCACATTTTTTATAACGATGCCAACCGAGTATAATCAATTTCGGATGATAGTTCACATGTTATAAATATATTTTTTTCTATGTCTGCCCAACTTTATATATTCGGAAAATACAAAAAGAAGCAAAATGTCCGAAATCTATGAAATAATCTTTATACAGTATATATGTTATTTTTGCAAAATGTGCAGTAGTTAGATCAGCTTTTTTAAGGGTGGAAGACTATTAACCGCATATTTTTACATATTATTAAACGTTCGATCTTTGAATTTAATGTTTGCCTAGACAGAACAATCAGATATTCCATACATCTGGATTGCTTGTAGTACCATTTAGATGAGTTCTTAGAAGAATTCAGTCTTATTACTATTTTGTAACAAATGACTTGTTACTTTGATACTGATCTGTATGAACGTAAATAAAATTTAAAACTTAAAAATTTTTTCTATTGGATTTACGTTCTTACAGATCAATATCAAAGTAATAAGTCATTGGTCACAAGATAGTAACAACTCAGTCAAAGTCGACTCTTCAAAAAACAATGCGATAAAATTTCATTAAAACACCATTCTAACAATTTCTTTCTCGTGTTAAAATAGAGAAAAAGTTTTGTAGATTGACGCATTTTTACCGTTTTTCAGCGCAAACTTCACGACCATCATCCCATATTAAAAGGCTAGAACTCATATTAACATGGAAATATTAACTAAGAAAACGTATTTTTATGCGTATTCTTCTGAACGACTGTTATTATGTTGAACAATCACTCGTTTTTTCTCATTCTCCGTAAAGCAATTCAATTCATTTAGACGCAGAATCTTTAATTCAATTACTTGTGTTTATAAATGAACATACCTGATGTGAAAATTATTATTTATCGACTGCTCTCATTGATTCTAGCAGAATGACAAGTCATTTTTTAACAATCATAGAAAAATTGGATATTCTTTAAGATGTACGAATTGATGCCTATTTCTATTATCTATTTGTTTAAGTTTAAATTTGATTATAATCTACTTGCGATATAGCATAATTACCGCTATATATTTTTTTCGTTTCATGTTTCTCATACTTGTGCGATCATAAAAAATTTCAAGATGCTTTGTTTTCTTTTATTCTTATCATATTAAGAATCTGTTGCTGGTTTATTTGAGAATCATGAAAAATGAAAAAACAGAAACAATATACGATTGAATATTTTAAAGTTTAGCATTATTATAAAAAGAAACAAATCGAATAGTGATATAACAGACTCAGAAAGAGACGAATAAATAGATTATGCATCAAAGTTGAGACAGTCGTATGATTTACTAATTCTTTTTTTGAAATGAGTCATAAGAAAAATTTTACAACATGTTCAAGATACAATTCCCCTATCAAAGAAGCAAATATGAGTATAAATTTTATGACGAAGATATGAAAATTAAAAAAGTAAACATTTTTATGAGTTTTTTTGTTCGATTTCGAGAACTTGAAGTTTGTAAAAAGTATATTTTAATAATTCAATCGTTTATTTACATGTTAAAATGTTTATTTTTCGTATTTCCATGTTGTTTTAAATGAAGATAAATAGAAGTTTGTAAAGAATTCAATTATGCATCTATCAAATGCAAATTCTGACTATCTAATAAAGATTCACACCCTCCAAATTACGTATAAAATCTAGATATCCATATGTTATCCTATGGACAGCGTCGATTGGATTAGTATTTCTCTTCTTAGCATTTCAAAATTATAAGTCACTAGCGGAAGTACCCAACGTTGTCCGGAAAAGTTCAGTATTAATATATGCAAGCAAAACACCTATTGCGCTCGAGAACATATCAGACAACCTAATCAGTAGAGAGTAGACACGCATAAAACTCTATTTTTTGTTCCAATCCTGGTTATGGCTCTTGGACGTATTTTAAGTCTCAGCCACGGCTACTCTCGCTCTCGGCGGATATGAAATACTGACATTAAAAAATCGGTCAGAAGTGAAGGATTCTTCGTCCTTACACGTCTAGATCAAGAAGAACTTGATGAAACTTATGAGTTCTATCAACTTTTTATCTTTGCCAAGCATTTATAAGAGCATATACCCATCTCGATCGACTCCGGTCGTACTTGGTCACGTTCCCGGTTCCAGAGCTGTATAGTTGTATTTCTAGTCGGGAGCCCGCATGAACAATCGATTCTTCGACAGTGTCGCAAGAAAAATCTGCTTTGATCGAAACTAAGCACAACGACACATCTAATTGATCTAGAACGTCACATTTTGTACTACTGAAATCACACTGAATTCCAATTGATTCCAAAGAAAGATAGACAGAAAGATTTTCGTGGGACAGATCCTTTAACAACCTAAGGAGTCGATATCTATGACGTACAAATTTTCGGCGTCATAGACTATTTATTCAAAATCCCCTCCTCACACGACCTCCAGGGATCAGCTTCCCCAAAAGCTGGACTTGTGTATGACATGGGTCATCCTTGATATTCGTTTTTCCAAAAACTCGATTCCTATTGGTTTCGGGTCAACCAATCAGATTTGAAAACCTGTAGTTCCATGTTTTTCTGTGTGTTCATGAAGTGCTGGTCAATAGTACTTCTATAGTACCGAATACTGCAATCTGATTAGTCAGCAACATAGATATGCTTTTTGCAGGCGAAGGAGCAATTCTTTTTAAGCAAAAAAATAGGTGTTGATCTTCTCCTGGATGAGAGGAGAATTCCTGGAAAGTTTGATTGCATTCGCTCGTACGGTGAGGAAATACATAAAGAACAGACAGATGGATAAACATTCTTCTTTATAGATAAGATCAAATTCTATAGATCCGTCTAAATTGTCCTATGACGTGAAAAGCATCCTCAAAGTTCTCCAACAACAAGGATTAGATTTGACATTCTTCTAACAAGATGCATATAGAATCTTCTCAGGATTTTCTTAGTTTAGGAGTTTTACATAATTCTTCTTGTCTGATGTTCATGTAAATCATCATCCGACAAATAGATTCTGCATTCTCGCAATTCCGAATAAAATCCTCAGATCTCTATGTTTTTCTATCAAAAGCTTACATGGAATTAGCATTATTCTTTATCGGACAGATTTCCTTACAGCAATCTCCAGGTATTATCTTTAGGGTCAAAAAGATCTTGGCAAGAACTAAAAGTGACATACATGTAAGAATCATTATCAAATCCTTTTTTCTCATAAGAAACTAGGAAAAGACTTCTGAGTTTTTATCTGTGGAACGAGCATTCTCAAAGATGAATGTGATATTTGTAGCGCTTGCTCCCACGAGAGACGGAATCCCTTCGATAACGACGATATCTTTTTTTTTTCGTTCATTGTAGTAATTCCCAATATTCCAGAGAAGGCGTCATGGATATTGATTAAGATCGACATTTGTGTACTAGGCAGAGATGGGTAACTACACTACGTCCCGCTCGAACTCCACATAACTCCAGTCCTATTTTCTAAAACTCCACATCAATTTCAACTGCAGTGTGTTCCACTCCAACCCTACACTACTCCACTCCTTTTTCATAAAATCCTACTCCAACTCCAATTTAACTTCAATTCCAGTCGGATTTTACAAAGCTGAACTTCTGCCAAAATACTCTTAAATACACATAAGTTTTTCAACATAATTAAATCTACGATTGATATCAATTAGTAGCATATTAATTTATTGCTTTATAAACTTTCACATAAAATTCAGAGATAGGCAGCATCAACTTTGGAGTTGAAATTGCCCATCTCTGATATCAACCATTTCAAAATGCTTACTCTTCAAATCCTCCTGAATATATCCATAATATGCGAGCTTACAGAAGACTTCTCAGAACAAGTACTACATAAGGATTATAACATGATCCTCATAGAAGATACTCATTATTTTTAGATTTTCAGATTTTAACAGAGTATCTTATTTAGTCATCAAGATTCTCTTCGAGGATCCTTATACAATGGTTTGAAGATGGTGTTCATCAAAAGTTAAAAATACCATTTTAGAACACTTTCTTTTCGAAGCCTATAAAATCTATATATCCCAATGTTTGTCACTGGAGAGCTCTGTTCGGATTGACATCCATCTTTTCAGCATTTGCAAAAGTAGGAGCCCTCTCAGATTACATAGATTCGCGTGGAATCCTCTCAACTTTGTTCAGTTTCGCCTGTATCCAAACCTTCTCATGATCTTACTCAGAGTACATCACGGTTGTTCCTCGAACAACTTCACATAACTTATCAAAAGTCTTATAAAATTTCACCGGTATTCTCTATGCAAATATTTAGGAGATTCTTCGGCAGATCTACATTCATCATACAGAAAATCATGCATCCTTAAGGTTTTCTAAAAAACATAGGGATTAAGTTTGATATTTTGTTGTTCACCGATTCGATATTCTTCTCACAAGATACAGATAGAATCTTCTCTGATGTTCATATAAATGATCATTCTGCCAAAAAGATTCTGAATTCTTGCAATTCTGAAAAAAATCCTCAGATCCTTATGTTTTTCTATCAAAAAATTACATGGAATTAGTATTACTCTTTCTTGGAGAACCTCCTTACAACAATCTCCAGGTGTTATTTTTATGATCAAAAAGATCTTGGCAACCACTAGAAGTAACATAGATGTAAGAATCTTTATCAAATTCTTTTTTTCTCATAAGAAACTAGGAAAAGACTTCTGAATTTTTATCTGTGGAATGAGCATTTTCAAAGACGAATGTCGTATTTCTAGCACTTGCTCTCACGAGAGACGGAATCCCTTCGATAACGACGATTTCTTTTTTTTTGTTCATTGTAGTAATTCCTAATATTCCAGCCGATGCCCGATGGAAACAGAATGGAGCGACTGTTGCTGGAGGTCATGGACAAGGCAGTGCCACCAATCAACTCAACGAGCCTTTTGGTCTCTTCGTTGATGATGATCAAACGATAGTCATTGCTGACTGGGGCAATGAGCGTATCATTCAATGGAAGATGGGTGATACGAATGGACAAGTAGTAGCTGGTGGCAATGGCCGAGGAAAACGATTGGATCAATTGAATAGTCCAACCGATGTGTTGATCGACAAAGAGACGGATAGTCTCATTATTTGTGACCGGGACAATCGACGAGTCGTTCGATGGTCTCGTCGTAGTGGTACAACTCAAGGAGAAATTCTCATCAACGACATCAATTGTTGGGGATTGGCCATGGATGATCAGAGATATCTCTACATCTCTGACTACGGAAAACATGAAGTAAGACGATATCAAATAGGAGACAAGAATGGAACTATCGTGGTTGGTGGCAATGGCAAAGGCGCTGGTCTCAATCAACTCAACTTTCCGACCTACATCTTTGTCGATCAACAACAGACTGTCTACGTGTCAGACAGGGACAATCATCGTGTAATGAAATGGAATAAAGGTGCAAAAGAAGGAATTGTCGTCGCTGGAGGTCAAGGCGAAGGGAATGCTCTGACACAATTGTCGAATCCTCATGGACTGTTCGTCGATACATTGGGTACCATCTATGTGGCAGACTTAGGGAATCATCGAGTGATGCGTTGGCCTAAAGGAGCAAAACAGGGCACTGTCATTGTGGGTGGAAATGGTGAAGGAGCAAATCAGTTACACTGGCCCATTGGTTTGTCCTTCGATCGACATGGCAATCTCAATGTCGTCGATTGCGAGAATAATCGTGTTCAACGCTTTTCAATCGAATAGACTCGTCATGATAGATTGTTTTTGCGTTCCTTTCCTTTCAAATAAATCGCATTGAATTGATGAAATGAATAGCTTATTCTATTCGCGCGCGCGCGACCAGGAACCATCCTGGTGGAGCCGTGGCGAGCGTAACGCTCGTGCACGTACGGGACAGACTCAAATCATTCATATCCCTCCAACTCGAGAGATATGTCAATGAGTCTGGGGGCCCGGTCGTGTGCCACGGACACCAAGATAGTTCCTGGCCGGGCTTTTAGGGACTGCCCGGAAGTCCTGTAAAGATAACAGTAGCCTAACCTCAACGGGCATAACTCACCCACTCTCTACTAACACTCACTACCTATTCTCATCTCAAAAAAAAAAATTACTTACCGTGTCTGATGTTGATGACACGATGATATTGATAGCTGAAAGGAACAAAAAAAAATTTAATCAATGTTATTTAATGAAATAGAATGAGATGACTTACCCTAATGTTACCTTTTTCTTTCTTGTTTATTCCCTAAAATAAAATAAAAAAATAATAAAAAGATCAAAGGAGGCCTTACCCCACCATCCTTATGATCGTAAAATAAAAAAAAATAAAAAAAAAGTAAAACGAATACCTACATTTCATTTTATGGTCTGGTTTGTTGTTGAATTGTTTCATATTGTTTGGTTGAAGGCAATCTAAAACAGAAAAGAAAAATTATTATTATTTGATTCAAAAATTTGAATGATTTTACATAGAAAATCATTCGTATATATACCTTGAAAAATCATTTTTTTCTCTCGTCGAAAATGATATACATATTTAATTGTACATGTTGATCATTGATCGTCAATGATAACAACATGAACAATGATTTATGGACGAGAGAAAGACAAAAAAAAAAAAAAAAAATTTCCCTCGTCACATATATTTCTTTTTTCTTTCCTTTCTCTCTTGTTAATATTAACATATATAATGATTTATTTATGAATTTTTTTAGATTGTATCTCATTTGGAATGAAAATGAAATTGTTTTGTTTATTTTTATTAATGATAATCAATAACAACATTTATGTATAATTATAATGTTAAAAATTGTTGATTCAATTTCATAGACTTTCGAAAAAAAACAAAACAAATGGAAGTTTTTGAACACTTAAATTTTTACAATAATATTCTTTTGGATGAACATATCTAAATATCAACAAAATTTTAAATCAAAATAATCCATCACAGAAGTTTGAAAAAATCTTTCTTTGTTAGGTGGATTTATTACAACAGAAAAGAATGGAATAAGATATATTCTTCTTTTGAATAAAAATTTATTTATATCAACATATCTATTCTATACATATCAAGATCAACAATTTGTTATTCATGTACAAGTATGTATTAATCAATAAAGAAAAAAAAATTAAAAAATGTATATATAATAATGTTTTTAGTGATTTGGAGAATTTTATGTTTAATGAATAATGTTGATAAATCCATGTGTACAATTAATTTAACTAATAATTAAACAGCAACATCGTCAAATTTCTTCATTATTATTATTTTCATCATCAACATATGATTAATAGTCCATTACTTGATTTATTATTCAATACAACTATTAAAATGAGTATGTATTAGATGACAATATTGTTATAAAGAACAAAATATTGACATATATAATTAGTATTTAATTGGAATAGAATATAAGAGAAATCGAATGAAAATTAATATTAATTTTACAATGTTATTAAATATTATTCAAGTAAGATAACTAGTCAATGAAATATATTTTACTATTGTCCATTTCAAAATAGAAGAAGGGTGGTTGTTTTTTGAATA